TACCTCTGATATAATAGTCCCACTTGCCTTTTCTTAATTTAGTGGCTGCCAGACTAATGAATTGACCCTTTCTCTCTTGGTCATGTGGCCTTTTCACTACCCCCTCCCAACTGTAAAATTTTTGTCATGTAACTACAAGAAAGGCTGCTCTCCTCCCCCGGGCAGGCAGCTGCCGCTGCCTTGTCCAAGGACACTCAGCTCCAGTCGTTTCTGTACCACAGGCTGGGGCAGACAGCACAAGAAGCAAATTCTTTGCTGGCTGAGCCAATATGAGGGCCAGCCTCAGGGAAGCTCTGTTCCACTTCCAGCTCTGCAAGTCAGGATGTCCCAGCGAGCACAGCCCGTTGGGCCCCTTTCCACCCACATACCCCTCTGCTCTGCCCTGTGCAGGGCTGCTTCCCACAGCTCTCCCCTGCTGCTCCATTACCTTCCCCTTTGCCTGTGCCTGGCCTCCACTTTCAGAGCTGGATCATTTGTTCCTTCCCCAGGCTGCCTCTCCTTTCTTAACTTCCAACAGGCTCTCCAACTTTGGTTCCCTATGCCAGGTCCTAGTTCAGTCCCTTACCTGGTTCTCCATGTCACTGCCTATACCCCTGACTTTCTACACTCTTCCTTCTTGTTTCTTGTACTGGCAAACTGCTGCCAGTTCCTTACCAGCCAGTCTCAGCATTAAACTCCTCTAATTCCCAGTTTCTCTTTCTTTGTGTATCTCAGTTTCCCTCTATCCCATCTCAATTCTCCAAGTTCCCTGTCCTAGGTTTTTACCTTCTTCTCATCTACACCTCAGTCTATCCAGATCTTCCTGCCCTATCCTATACCTTTCTGTTTTGAATAATTGCTTTACCAGAAGTTTGGCTTCAATCTCTTGGCCAAAGTTTGCAATGAGTCTCCATTCTGGGAGAGAGAAGCATGTTTTGAAGGCTGATGGCACAACAAAACCCACTTCATTTTGTGGCCATCATACCCATCACGAAATTTGTGCATGCCTTTGTCATTCTTTCCTATCTTCCCCCTGATTATCACTTTGGCTCCACTGCCTTTATTATGAGTATACAAAGACTGGGAAGGCCAGACCAGTTGGCACAACTCAGAAGCTGAAGGGTAGAGAGGAAGGCACAGAAACCATACCTGGAGGATGCACGTGGACAGTCAGAGCCCTTGTCAACACCTGGAAGCTGATATTCCAGTGGAATGGCTGACACCAAGCTGTGTCCCATGGAAAACAGAGACTGCCTCCCCAGAGCAAAAGCTTCTGCTTGGGGCAAGGTGCCTTTGCAATACAAAGGAGAATGCAAAGAAGGGGAACCTCAAAATGTGGTTCTCTGTTGAAGGATTCAGTACAGTAACATGTTGCTTTTTTTCCTCTCTGTTCCTTTTAAATGTTCAGAACCAGGTCTGCTTCCTTGAAGTTACTTTTGCTTTTTTCTCCATTTTTTTTCTACAAAGCAGATGTATGATAAAAGGACTGAGTACTTGTGTTCTCAAAAACAAGCAGCATGATTTAGGGTTGTAGAACTTTGTGTAAAAAACAATTTTTGTCCTGCCAGCTTCAACTTTCAACTCATTAGCCACCTATCTATGTCTGTTAGCAGTTTTTTTAAGTGAACTTCCTAGGTCTTACAGGAGCTCTTCCAGGTGGAAAGACAGGACACAACAATACTAAAACAGAACATCCAGAATGTCATGCATGAAGTTATTTTCTCTTATTAACTTGTATGCACACAAACTTTTTCCAGTATGCATTGTGTCCCAACTGCCCCTGGGCCAGCAGTTCTTCAGTTTATTTTGTTCAAGAGAAAACTGCAAATCCAGCAGGCTATCAAGAGCTAATCTTCAGTTATACAGATGGGGAGTCAACCAGTTCAAACAATTTATCTTTCAAAGTCAACACAACAAACAACACAAACAAGCAAGAGCTTTTTCATTCACAACAGACAATAAACTGTATTTTTTTAGCGTAGCTATTCTATACAGGATAGTATCAGCTGCTAGAAACTCCTGCTTTTCTCTGCAATGAAAGGCAGGGCAAATTAAAGGCTTCAGTTGCCTGTACTTTAAAGGGAAAAAAGGCCAGAATGAAAAACTCAGTTAAACTGAAACAGATGCTGATTATTCCAGCTCCAGTCAGGGCATTCCTAAAAAAATCAACCTTTCTTGACTTCATTCTTCTGGTACTTGCAAATCCATTTCTGACAGCGTAAGGTAACTCAAAAGGACAAAGCAGGATCCAGCGGGACATTCTGTGCTCTGTTACACAAGCTTCTCCTAGCTCAGGTTGGCAGCACATGAATTTCAGTAGGCAGTGGACCTACCAAGGACTAACCATGTCCAGGGCTAGTGTAAATCCCACAGTGAAGGGGCAAGAGGGGATGGGTATTCACAAAAGCTAGTTTACATCTACAGAGGTTGAGTTTTGTCTGTAGTCAATAAGATAAGACTGTGCTTAGGCACTCTGAATCATATTCTGAAGAAATCACTTTTTCCATTGACCTCATTCAGACCCTGGGGAATTGAGCTTTCCAAGGGAAAAGCCACTTCCTCCCCAGGAAAGTGCATTCAAGTCTAAGTGGCCCTGGGTTCACCAGCTCTTTACATGCGGCACGTTGCTTTTGGACTCAGATGCTGCTGTGGATCTGTGTGCCTGCAAGTGGTACAAGGCATCTCCTACCACTGTACCTGTTTCATTTGGCTCTTGTGTCAGTCTTCCAAAACTGGCTGGCACCAATAATCTGGTATGATGTGGCTTAGATTTCATTTACACTGCATGTTGTTTCATGCCTTCAGAGGTTCGTGAAGATTAGTACCAGGCTGACTGGTATGGCATGGTATGTAGGAATGCGAGTGTAGCCCAAGTTTTCCTCTGCTGAACTTCATACAAGGGCATATCCTGACTCTGTTCCACATAAAAGAGGGAGCAGGCTTCCACTTCCCAGCGCTCCTCTCTGATCTTCCAGTTCTCAACAGTCACAACAGAGTGGCAGTGTAGCCCATCCTTCCAAGGGAGAGCCTGACAACAACCAGGTCTGTACTGGATCATTTTCAGGTGATAAAGGTGTGAAGCCGAAGGAAGGAGGCTCCCACAGTATACAAGAAAGGGAAAGGTCTCTGGCAGTGGTGGCTTCAGGAAGGCAGAGCAATTTTATTACAAGTTTTTTTGAGATTGCTGTAAACAACTCAACTGGGTCCTAAAAGTGACTGGGAGTGGCAGCACGTCCATGCTGAGCTGTGTAAAACAGCTGCCCCGTGCCCAGGCACGTATCACTGCCAGCAGGTTAACCAAGGCCACGGGCAGAGGCAGTTTTACTTGGGATTACATCTTGTCACTGCTGCAAGCTCTGCTGTCTGAATTGTGGGAGAAGATGAAGACCGGCTGAATAGGAGAGTCCCCAGGAAAACAACCAACCAACCCACATTCACACTCCCATAAACAGAAAAATATTCTTTGAAAGTAACCCAGGAAGAAAAAGTTTAGTTTGAATAAAATATTTGCCTGTTGGTCTTAGTAGCTGCAGCTCTGCTATTTTCTCTTCCTCTTCCAGACTCTCAGCAGGGATTGAGTGTTCTCCTAGAACTAGGGATGGGTTTCCTGAGTGATGACAAATAGCAGTAAAGCCTGAAGTCAATTCCAATCCTAATATAAGTTGCTCTTTCCTGCAGAAAAGAGAAGGATAAAAAATAAAACAAATCAGAAAATAATATGTAATGAGTAATCTTACAGTTCAGTTAGAGAAAGTGAGAAGAATCACCCCAACAATGATGCTGGCTCAGTTAGGGAGCCAGGCATTATAGGGATTACACCTGTAGAGGAAAGTTTCAGCTGAGGATTTCTAAAAAAAAAAACCAACTGAAAACCAGATCATTCAGATCTGGCAAACAGATCTCCAAAAGGACACCATGACACTCCTTCTGCCCAGAGCCATGAAAAGTAGAGCAGAGCGAGTGCCAGCAACCCTAATACTTATTATTATTGCTGTAGTGCAGAAGAGCCTTGCTTTGTGTGCAGGGGGCTGTGCAAGAAGTGTTTCAATGCAGAGGCTGAAAGCTAATGTAAGACCAGAAAACCGACATACATTTGTCACAGACACAGGGAGAATGAGGAAAGAAAAGCAGTCAGTGTGCTGCCAAGTTTTTTTATAGGCCATACGGACATGGAGAGTGTTGGAGAGACCTCTAAAAGATTATTTTTTCAACACACATTAATAAGGGGCTGGTTGCAAGGCTGGGAGGAAGCACAGATATATTTGAAATGGTAGCAAGTTGGCAGTGGGACTGGTCATCACAAGCTGATCTCAGGAGAGAGCTGACATCCCGGTAATAGTCTGGAACAGATGAACAGGGATGGGCTAGGGGAAAGATGGGTCTTGAAAAGGAAGGTATTTGACACACACAAAAAAGAGAGAGCTAGTAGACAGAAAAGAAAGAAGCGACACAGAGCGACAGGCTAAGAACAGTCCTGCATTGTGAGGACAAGGGCTTAGTTATTCAAGAGTTTTCTTTCCCCCTCTTGTTTCTCAGAGGGAGGAGTAGTGTTTCAAGGCAGAATAATACAATCATTTGTCTGTGTTAGGAAATTTATGGTTTGACTTTACCATGTGTTAAAATATTGATTCTCTTTCTAACATATGCTTTAGATATTGACAATAGTTTTTCTATATAGAAGACTGACTTCTGCACACAAAAGGTAGGACTTCATCACAGGATCCAGCAAAGCTGAGTAAAAACAAAGTGATGTAAGTGAAGCACAAGTCTAGAATTTTTTCCACTCAATTAAATAAAGATAGCAAGAGAGACACTGAGCAGTGTGTGGCAGTAAGAAACTGGAATAATTAAACAATAATATGACAGACGGTGCATTTACGGGCAATTACAGCATGCCTCTGCTGGCACTCCAAGGCACAGGGCCAAAGACTTAAGCGATTCAAACCACACAAGTAGAGCAGTAACCTCCTAGAAATGCCAGGATAGAGCATTTGGCCTGGGAGCCCAGGATGGGACTTACAAGTAGTCAGGCCTCTGCACTTGCCAGGTGTTAGCAGGATGAGCAGCCTGTCAAAAAGCTAGTTTTATGTCGCCTGGATAATAGATTTCCAAGCACTTTTACATATGTAGCAGTGAAAGAAAAATCATCACACTGAATAAGGTCATCTCCTTCGTGCGTTTTGCACACAGCTTGAGGATCCCACTGCATCAAACAACAAACTTAAAATAAGCATATTCTGAAAGCTCAGCTAAAAGAAAGCACTCGTCTGTCAACTCCCTTTCAAAAACAAGGACTGGGTTAAACACAAGCTATCAAGCTTCTGGCTCTGAAGGCATTTGGGATTCTTTGGGATTCCCTCAGGGAGTCACACCAGGCTTTCTGTTCCCCGCCTTACCCCACCCAGTAAACCCAAACCACCTTCCTCCTCCTGTCTCTGAAGCTGGGCTCTGTGTCCCATGGTACCACTCAGCAGCTTAAGGAGACAATTGCATGAAATCTGCACCTGTATTTCTAAAAGCATCGGTGTGCATTTTTCAACACAGTCGCAGCCATGCTGGTACACTGCACTTCTGATCTCGTCAGCACATAGAGGTGAAACACGCTCTAGACTTTTAGAAAAGAAGAAAAGAGAGAGAGATCTGAGTGAAAAACAAACACAGATCAGGTGCTGTTAAAAGCTTCTTAAACTGTCAACAAAGTATTTACTTAAACTCCAGAGAAAGTCACCTTCAAGATGGTTAGTTCTCATCAAAGTGGCTTTATTTTTAAACACCGTTTGTCTGGAGCTACATGATTATACAGGACTCTGAACCAAATTTTTGTTTTTTAAAGTAAGGACTTGATTCCAGACTTTCTTGTTATATGGAAAACATGGAAAACATGAACTTGAAAGGCTCAAAAAGCAGAAGGAAAATAAAAAGCATTTAAAATTTATAGAGACAAAACCCAAGCCTCATAAACAAATGGGACTGGCAACATTGCTTCACCTAAATGCTTTTTTCTTCTACTTGGTAGATGTTTCTCAAGACTTGAAATAAGTGTTGTTTTGTATCTGCAGGGCTTTCAGCAAGTGGCTGCCAAATTACGAAACCCTCTGGATTCCAGCAATGCACATCTCTGCTGTCTGCTGCACTCTGGAGTATCTGGGAAGAGGAGGAGGAAAACAAGCTTATCGTTTATAAAATTGTTGCTGCTTTTGTGGTTGTGAGGCTCTCTGCAGTGTACAAGAATAACTTGTTTGTGACATCAGTAAAATAAGGATGTGCAACCGTGAGCGTGTTGTCCTCTCCATGGATGCCACACTCACGTTTTCTCTAACACGGGGTGTAATCTGAAGGTCAAGTCTCAGGACTTGGGAAGCTGCATGCCATGGGGACACAACTTGAGACCTGAGCATCATTTTGCTTTGGTCTAGTTCTGGCTTCTCCAGCCATGTGGGGTGACACCGACATAATGCACTGACTCACCTGTAATTAGAAAAGTCACAACTTCTCTTGTTGCTTCTTTTCCAACAGAACAAGGGAAATTATGTCCTCTGACATGCTTTTCCCTCTTAAGTATAACTAATACCACTCTAGTGGATAAATCAGTCTTACTCAAAACTAAAACCAGTACTGTTTTTAAGGCACTTTGAAAAGTAGGATATTAAGCTGCAGACAATGCCCCTGCTTCTTTCCTTTCTCTCATCCAGACCTCCCCGTCCTGAAGGTGGCAACTGTGGGGTTTTTTCCCAGCTGAGAGAGGTGTCTTAAAAGCAGACTTACAAGAGAATGTTGAAAACAACCTCCACAGTCACGCCTGTCCCAGTGCTATCAGCTTTCTAAATAGGCTGCCAAGCTGGCGTTTGAGTCACTAAGAAAATGGATTTAGTATAGGATGCCAGACTCCATTTCTCAGTCACTAAAATGCTCATGTAACAAATTGAGTTGACCATTGTTTCTTATCACCAAGCAAACAAACCCCGTTGGCAGGAAAACTGTGTTTGGAAAGTGATTCCCTGCATGACTGAGATGGGCTCCAAATGCCCATCCTCACATAATGCTGGACTCCAGGTGGTCATTGGCACTGTGAAGGCCACTGGCAAAAAAACTGGCCTGCAATTTGATTTACAACATCTTGCTTTCAGTTAGTTTCTGTTGCTCCACAGGCCATATTTTTTACCACAGGAATAACTCTTGGTTTCACAGTGTGAAACAACTGGCTGTCTTTTATGTTCACTTTCAGCCATAGCCATATCTAAGATGCTGGATTGGTTTTTGAAAACAAACAACTGCCAAATTACTGATCTGCAAATTGCACTTACTGTTTAAAATGCCCTGCTCTACAAACAACCATCATAAATCCATCCCTAGTCCTTTCCCTTCCAGTCACTATGAAATACTAATTGGCACACAGACGAACACATCAGACAAAGAATCTTTTCCCACTGAAATCAGTAGGAACGCTTCTGAGCACTTCAAAGGGTAGAGAAGGATGTCCCAAGCGAACACGTCCATTTTACAGCGTCATCAACGCCAATTTTCTGACCTGAGACTGGAATATGTGAGTAACAACAGAAAGGGCCCATTTCTGCACTGCCTGGGACCAACCCAGAAGTGTTATCTTTGGCCAGCTCAACAAAAGGCAGGAAGGAGGAGACCCATTCTCACCCTCTGCGGGTTCTGCTGGCCTTCAACCCAACATCAGGCAAGGCTTCCAGCGAGGTGAAAGCGGGTTACCTGAGGGACCGTCAGCTTCCTACTCGAGGTTGCTTAGAGGAAAAAGGAAATAGTTCTAGAACAATGCAGACAGAGACTTTAAATAACTATCAGAGAGGTGTCGCTTACTGGAATATAAACGTTTTTATCGCAGTTTTATGTCCCAGCAAACCTGAACCTTGGGTCCCACAGCTGACAGGTCCAGTGCGGTGCCTGAGCTTGCAGAGGGGAGCCTGCTCACAGCCACCATCAAGGCAGACTGGAAAAGAATTATTAGCACCAATAATTTTCTCCCTCATTTTACTCATTCACAGCCAGTCCCTGTGCATAGCAAGAAGCCAGCTCTCAATCCTAGAACAATTAAAGGAGTTGTCACCACCTGCCAGAGCCAGGTTAGCAGGATTACCAGCCTGCACTGCCAATCCCCAAGGCACACACACAGTGTGTGCTGGGCACACAGGCAAGCTCATTAACAAACTAAAATTACAACACGTCCCGGAATCGAGGCTTGCTGGGGCATCGCAGAGGCCCAAGACAGGCAAATCCCTGCCCGCCGACACCGGGTCACACCGAGGCTCGCCAGGGGGGTTTCCCAGGGAAGCTGCTCCCAGCGGCAAAGATCTTCCAAAAGCCGAACCTCTCCTCCTGGGGGGCGTGCACTGGCCCATCAGGTTCGGCGACATTTAATCTCTCGGTGTTTAGAAAGACACCGGCTTTTACTGCTGTTTACATGTCAAACAGGAGCGTGATTCACGTCGCGAATCCCGAGACGCTGCCTGGAAATGAACACCGGGACACGTACGCCCTGGCCACGCCCGTCTGCTGGACGGTGTCTCCTGGGGATTTTCTTTAAGAAACACCATAAAATAAACCATAAAAGCGCCCCAAAGTCCGAGTTTGAGGCGAGCGGGGGTAGGCGCGGCGGCCCCGGCGGGCGGGCAAGCAGCGGCTCGCCGGGGCCGGGCAGGCCTGCGCAGGTGGGACGGCGCCGCCCCAGCGCAGAGCCCGGCGCAGCCGAGGCAGGGAGCGGCATCCCGGCCCCGGGAAAGCCACTCCCGTCCCGCCCGGCGCTGCCCCAGCACTGCCCCAGCGCAGCGCCACGACAAGGACTACAGTTCCCAGCGCGCACAGTGGGAGCCAGCGCTCTCGCTAGGCCTACCACTCCCAGCATGCACAGGGCCACGTGGCCAGCGGGGCGCGGGCGGGGCTCCGCGCGGGGCGCGCTGGGAGCTGTAGTTCCCGCGCGGGCGGTCCCGTGCAGAGCCGCCATGCCGGAGGGGACGGGAGCGCTCCGGGAGGTTCTGCCCAAGCAAGGTACGGCCTGCGGGCGGGGCCCGGCCCGACCGGCCCGGCGCTCACGCACCTCCCTTCTCCCCTCCTTTCAGGGCAGCTGTCGGTGGAGGACGCGGCCACCATGGTGCTGTGCAAGCCCAAGATCCTGCCGCTGAAGTCGGTGTCGCTGGAGAAGCTGGAGAAGCTGCAGCGGGCGGCGCTGGAGGCCGCGCAGCCGCCCGAGGGGGCCCCGCCGCCGTCCGCGGGGGCCGCGCCGGGCCGGCCGTAGCCCCGGGCGGGGGGCGCCGAGCCAGGCGGGACTAAACCCGGGGGGGCCGCACCCGCGATAGAGGTAGCGCTTTGTAACGGGGCTCGCGGATTAAAGTCTGGCCTGGAACGCGGGAGGTGGTGCTGCGCGGGGCGGGGGAGGCCGCGCGTCGGGCGCTTTTCGTACAGAAGTTCCGCTGGTCGCTTCCAAGGCGAGGTTTTAAACGCGGCTTTAGAGGTACCACCCCACCTCCCCCCCCCAGAAGCTGCTCTGGGACGGCCCCGGCAGAGCGCGGGAGGAGCCGAGTTACACAACCTCACTGCTCTGAGCGGGGTTTACCAGACCCGCAGAAGCAGGGCATCCCTTGTCCCCTGGAGCACATCGTGTTCCCGGGCTTGGAACAGCTTCTCCCAGTACTTCTGAACACCTCAAATCTTGTCATGAAAACTGAAAAACACAGGAGAGGCTCCACTCTGTTCCAGTACGCAAGTCTTCCTTAGATCCATCTTGTTGTTGAGCAAGGGCTTGGCAAAGCTGTGCTGTACAGACACGTTCACAATATCTGTGCCAGCCTGGACGCTCCTACGCCAGGCACTGGTGTTTTCAACAACAGATCTGGTAAATACTTACCTTGAATTTAATTACTCAGTGCTCTCATGCTGACTGCAATACCAAAGGGCGGTGTTAGCTGTACTGCTGAATTGCACAAGCTGCAGAGATCTGAACACAAGTTAAATTTGTTCTGTTTAAAAGAAATAAAAAGAAGGCAGGAACAAGAAATTCACAAAAAATATTTTTAATATGTTTTACCAGAACTTTTCACTTTTCTAGTTACATAGAAAAAAAAGACAAGTTTGGTACACAGGGGGTGAAACCAACCAGTGTTCTCCCCTGAAGCAGATGAATTTATCTTTATGATCCAACTCTTATTTTCTTGGGCTCTTTAAAACAAACTTTTTTTTTTTCCTCCCAAAGCACAGTATTTCTTCAGCAGCAATGGAAATGGAATCACAGCAGCTTAACTTGACCCTTCTATAAAGCTTCATATAAACAGTGATTTTATGATGACAGCACTGTCCTGAAAAGAGCGCGCAGCAGTCGGACATGGATGCACATGGGGAATGATTAGGTCATAAACATGGCACGTACAGAGATAGCTTATTTGAAGGCACCACCACAGCAGTGGTCAGTTGTTCTACTATTATGCCCAGAGAAAGAACACTTCTTTCTGAAATTTACAAAACTATTAAAAAAACAAAACAAAACAAAAAAAACCACAAAACAAAACCAAAATTTGTACCCGAAACATGTGCTTTTAAAAAAATACGAACTGTGCTAAGCAACTCTCAGATTTGGTATATTATATATGTGTATACATATATACATACACACACCGAAGAAGCATGCGTGTTTGTATATATAGATAGCTAGCTATGTTCCCTTTAAACTTGTAAGGCTTCAGGAGTCAGTTCTCACATTCAGTAGCTTTCCAGCTTAAGACGACCTCCATCTCCTTCGCTCACAAAACGCTTTCTGCCCCTGTAAGAAAGAAGAAAGTATCTTTTCAGTAACTGAGAGTAGCATTGCTTGGTTTTTATCCCTGAAAAGAACCTTCTTGGGAGTCAAACATAAGGTGTGCGAGTTCGGCAGGGTTATCAGTGATCACAGGATCAGCTCAACTGCTTAAAAATGCAAGTTTGAAAACCCAGGAATGGCAGTTTTCTACCCAAAACTGAAGCAGAAGCACACAAGCCAAAAATGCCTCTCGGCATACTAATGGTAACTGAAATATAATCAAGCTTTTGATGCAGTGATGACTCTCAACCCTCCCACACCTCAAACTTGCAAAGCATTTGATACCAAGACACACACAAACAGTTTTAAGTGTAAAGTTCACAAATGGAGGCTGTTCTCAATAAAGACACTAACATTTCAAGATCCAAATTTATTACAAGCTGTCAAGATGGTTTAAGAACTCCAACAAAACACCCAAACTGGAAAAGATCTATCGAATAAATAGTATTCCCAATGCATAAAAACTGAATAATAGTTCTAACATCACATTTAAAAATTCACATGTATTTACATGTACTCCCCACAGGAAATGAAACAGGTTAATTGTATTGAGACCAGTAAGGAGAAAACAGCAGACTGATTAGCTACAGTTCAAACAGCATTAATTATGCTATAAGTAAGTAAACAACAACAAACCACATGACAGACAGATATGAAGGATTGGGTGTATAGGACTTATCTCACATTAGTGTCCTGACATAAAGATCAGAACTGGTTGTCTCTTCTCAGAACTCTTATCTACTCATGCTGTTTGGTAAGCTTAAACCATTTTTAAAGGTTTTGGCCGGGGGGATGCGTTTCCCCCACTGCAGCTGACAGTTTTCCGCTCTCACCTACATGGATCATTGTGACACCTGAATCTTCCACCTTGGTGCTGCACTAATTTCTACTAAGCAAGTCAGCAATCCAGAGGAGAGGCAGCCCTGGTCCCTTGGGGAGCACTGAGGTGCTGCCCGGGACTCACCAGAAGCTGACTCTCCTCAAGTATTTATCCCAACTGCCACGTAACAGATTTCACATCAGTGCAGCTTCATAATAAACTTTTTACTAATTCAATTCTCTGTCCAACCTCCATAGTTTCCACTTCCAATCTGTAATACCTTGGTCACAAGATCCTGTTTTCTGTTACCCACAACAGGAAGAAAGCAGTGCCTATCTACAATAAAACAATTACCTTGAAGGGCAGAGGTCTCTCAGTGGTTTGGAGATTATTCCAGCCTGAAAGCATTCCTCTACAAACCGCTCAAGCACAGAATAGGAGTGTGGCACATCCAGGTTAATGTCTGGGATTTCACAGTAAACTCGTTCATAGCCCTGCAGTACAAGCATTCAAATAATGATCTGGTTATTCTATGATTTTATTACAATTTTTAAATACCCTTCTGCACTCAGACGATTTATTTTTCAGTATAGTTTCACCCAAACCCGAAGCAGAGCAGCTGCCAGTCAGCGAAAAAACAAAGTATAACAGCAGCCAATACCATGGTATTGTACAACTACCTGTCTTCATAAAAACACCAGCTGAGTTTTTAACTTCTTTAGAAGTCAGAAATCCAGACAGCACATAATCTGTACGTTAGCCTGACTGCTACCACATAGGTAGTAACATGGAAAGAAAATTTAGTATGTCTTCCATGGAAATGAACAAAATGTGGCCACAAATCACCACCACAGCAGTTTATGCAGCAAGAGAAACAATGGTGACAACCAGAGATGACTTCATCACTTCCTGACAGCAACACAGCTGGGTAAATTTTGCTATAAGTCCTGGTGTGGTACCCAGTTCTGTGTCCTGGGACAGAACTGCTGTCCCATACTCATACCAAGAAGCAAAGCCATGGCTGACAACTGTGTAAAACACTCATTTCTATACACCGTTCTAATAGACATTTGTAATTAGTGGGCCTTTATGGTACTATTTCAAGTAGGAAGAACTATCAGATAAAAAGATACATTTAAAAAATGAAGCAATATTGCAGCATTTTAAATTATTAGTTTAAACCATTTAACTGCATAAAGGCAGCTAGAAATCTCTATTGTACATGCATCACGGAATTACTTAGGTTGGAAAAGACCTCTAAAAATCACTGGGTCCAACCACTAACCCAGCACTGCCAAGTCCACCAAGCGTCCCCTCTCCAAGTCTTTTAAATTCCCCCAGAGATGGTGAATCCACCACTTCCCTGGCAATCTGGTTCCAGTGCCTGACAAACATTTTGGTGAGGAATTTTTTCCTAATGCACAATCTAAAGCTCCCCTGGCACAACTTGAGGCCATTCCCATAAACAACAAATTATTTGTATGGGATACAGAATGGTCATGGAGAATTCAAAAAAACCCCTAGCAGTCTAGTGTACTAGTGTACTAGTATTTAAAAGAAGGTAGAAACTATAGAAATTTTGGAAGACCTTACACAAAATTTTCTAAATGCCATACTCACTCTTTTCATTTGGTCCACAGTAATGACAGATGACTTCCAGAGAGTCTTCAACAAATCCAGTATCATTTGAAAGGTCTTTTCTCCAGTTGACTCCAAAACCAGTACAATGGCCTAAAACAAATCATGCATCCTGATTAAAAACAGTGGCTCAAGTACAGGGTGTGTAAGTATATGAAGTGCAGAATGGAATGAATATGTTATTAGGCATTTTCTGGGGAAACAAGTCCGTTCATTACGTACACTCATAATTTCAGTTTATCATTATTATTTGAAAACGAAAACTGACGAAAAGTTCTTTAGATAAAAAGTATGAAAAAAACAGAAAGGACCAGACAGAGTGAGAAGCACTACCTTTCTGTCTCTCTGTTCAGAACTACATGACTATATATAGCTGCTGCAGTACAGATGGCAATTAATTAATTTTGTGAAATTAATTTTGTATCCATGGATTTTTTGTGTCTGTGATTTTAGAAGAACTAAGAAGTTTAAAATCTATAAATCTTCACAACCCACATCAACTGAAATGATTCAGGTTTCCTAATGTGAAGGAATTTTCTAAAATGAGTCAATTCACTGCAAAAGAAATGTTGTAGATTGTTGGCATTCAGCTTTATTGGTAAACAACCACTTCCCAATTTGGCAGATAAAAGAGTACAAATGTTAAGTCTCCCAATTAGTCTGGGTCTGAAATATCTCAGAGCTTTTACAAATGTGCTAGATGAAACAATCCCACCCTGAAAAGGGAAGCTCTATAACTTAACAAAAATAGTTAACACCCATTAGAATACCCAGATATCTCAAACTAAAAAAAAAAATAAACAAAAAAATAAACACCAAAACAAAGCACTGGAGGGTTTTTTTGCTGCTATTCCTCAGCAGAAAACAAAATGAGCTCTCATTTTTCAGGAACCTATAATAATCTGAATTCAACTATTTAGCCCCCTAAAATTAGCTCTGGATCTTCCAAGAGTTGGCAACAGCTTACTTGTTGCACAATGCACACACAAATGAGCAAAGCATTAACTTTACATGAAACAATTAAGTTATTCAAATAACAGAACAAGCAACCTGAGCTTTAAATTCCAGTTATATCATTTGCATGCCCACATCAAATTGATGATAATTATTAAAGGGACTCTAATTTCTCCTTACTTCGTATACAAGTTCATGGTGAAAATGGGGTACTTCCAGTTCCTGAAGGCAACGCTCAGCTTCCAGCACATCTCCAGAAAGCAAATACTCTTTCAGCAACATATCAATCTATTGAATTTTAAAACAAACAAAAAACCCCAATATTAATTAGATAAATTTAAAAGCTGTCAACTGTTTTGATAATCCACAATCAACCCTGCCAGTGTTTTTATAAATGTAATTAAATCAGGCATTAATTAAATTGAGACGTTATCAGTAACCTGAAACACAGTGTAAGCCAAATACCAACCCACAGTGCTAATGCACAAGCACCAAAACCATTGCTTTATAAGCTGTGTTGTATCACCATAGAAGGTTAATATGGGTGCCATTAAGTTTTTATCTGCTCCCCTGAATGCCTCCTCCTGTCATCTGTTACACTCACAGCCTAGACATTATTTTTATTATTTCCTTTACACCTGCTTACTTCACAGAATGGATCCCTAAACACTCCTGTTTCTTCCTCTCTCTTTTTTCTCTCTTTTTCTTACTGTGTTTTTGATCAGCAATGCCAACAAAAAAAAAAAAAAGTTTATCTAGT